AGAAGAGAGATTTCTCATAGCAAGCTGATTTTATACTAAACTTTTATGCTCATACTCACGGTAAGTACGTGTTAATGTATCCAGATATATTACGGTGAGTATGGATTAATATATTCAACAATATATGTGGCTGGATATTAGCGTAAATATATCTATAAGATTGAATGTTCACAAAATCTTGACATATAAGAGCATCTCCAACTGTGAACATTAATTGTAGTGTATGTGGCAATCAAATAGATGGTCTTCCATCCACGTGGAACAAATAGAGGTTCAAGCTCATAAAAGTCTACAATGTTTATTCTATCTTCATGTTATCCATTTATTTTGTATTATAAATAATAGGGAAATAAAATGATTCATAAGTCTAGAAGGACTTCTAGAATTATTGTTTCTCTTTCATGCCACATCATCACAAATAGAAGTGAAAAAATCGTTGTTGGAGAAGTTCTTTTATCAGATTGCATCTACAATCTCACAATTCACATGCGGTTGGAGATGCTCTAACTAGTGAATATAGCATAACCCAATGTGTTTGAATATGAGACATATCTTAATGTGTTCACCAAAAATTCTATGGAGTCATCGGATGGTTTTCTTATGGAGCCATCTACCACTTAATGGGTTGACACCTGTCTAAATTATATTTATTGTAGGACACGTGTCAATACGCTATTGGTGAATAAGTGTGGACGACTCCATAAGTCGAGTCATCTGATTGCTCCATAGCAAAACTGATGTATTCACAGTAGATGAATAGTTTCTCGCGTGGATGATTTTGGATTACTTTATAAATTATATGATTACAATTTATAGTAAAAATGTTATCTTTGTAGTATAAATCAATGTAATTATAAATTTTATAGATAAAAATACGTAATAACTATTAATTTTATTTTAACTTTCATATAAAATATATCAGGAAAATAAAGTGAAACTAGTGAATAATATATATTGCTTTTAATAAAAAAAAAATGTTCATTTGTTGTTAGCAAAATCACACCTGAGTACACAATCACATGGCGACATGTGCGATAATGTATAACAAGTTAGGAAATATGAAGACACAATTATGAAAATTAAAATAATAGTAGGAACAAATGAGCCAATGATTGTCTGGGTTTTGTAGTCATCTATGATATTTTGGACATCATTGGACACATGCTTGCTGGTACAGCCATAAATCACACTATGCCATCTCAACCACTGGTGTTAGAAATTGAAGTTTTTATTTAACATGCTATTTATATATACATATGATAAAATAAGTAGAATTTAATTTTTGTTCAATAGATTTGAAGTTTTTGCTTAAAAAAAAAATAAAATAAAATAAGTAGAATTTTTTGTTCAATAACTTTAAGTCCGTCTGTTTGAAATTTTTAATCACCTCATTAGT